AGAAGGAGATATTAGGAAGTGATCAAAAGCATGTTCATTGTGGTAGGTTTTAAGCAGCATTGTACAGGAGGATAGAGGTAGAGAGGTGGAGAGAATGCTAAGGGTTAGAGCCCAGGCAACTGAAGGCATGAATATTAACGGTGGAGTAGTGATGTAAAAGAAGGCAGAGCCAAATCATTCTGTTGCTGAAGCACTGCTGCACACATTAATGTAGCACTCAAGTGTTGAAATGCTTGCTTAAAAAAAGACTGTAACATAGATGCTCAGCTTTGGGCAGTACAGTATGCATGAATATTGTATGAACACGTTTTTTAAAAATGGTAACAAAATGATTTTACTTCTGGTTCAGATACAATTGTTGCAAGCTTCTTGATAAAAGTGGCACTTAAGAGATTAAGAGAGAAACGTCTCATGGTGTTATTGATCACTTAGAAAATGGAACACTGCATGAGAAAGCACATCAAGCTCTTGGCAAGCTTTACAGACAGCAAGACATAGATTACTGTCTGAAAGTTGAGACTGTGGTTACTGACATATTGCTCTGCCACAGCGATTGGTTTCGAGAATCTTCTTGTTGGTCTCAGAATGTGTCAGGACTTGACCATATCAGTGAGTGATCAACTCAGGGCACTGCTTTTCAGATAACTAAGTAAACAGGAAGAGAAAACTAGATGATGTGTGAAACCAAGCTTCTGATTTAATGTGAACCATTTCACACAGGCACAGACCCATTTCACCCTGTGTTTTCTTCTGTAGCTCAGATATCCATTGTAAAACCTGTCATGCTCACCTTGCTAACTTGCATGAGATTATATCCCATTCGGCCTATTATTTCCCAAGTTTAAAGGTACATTTGTTTTCTATTTTGTATAGGTCAACTGAAGCCGTGTCCACTATCCGAGATAGATAGGAAAGATTTGATTGCACAATTCAAAAAACAAGGGGATTTATCCCAAGTATCCTAACCAATTTGGATTCCTCAAAAAATCTCACTTATATAAAAAAAACCTCGGCAATATCACATTGCTATTTGTGGTGAGTTTGCTATAAGCAAATTGATCACGTCATTTCTTACTTTATAACAATGTCTATACTTAGAAATATTTAATTGCTGTAAGGCACTTTGCAGTCACCTGAGGTTATGAAAGATCTTATAAAAATACATGTCTTTCTATCCATTATTAAAACAATAGTTCTCCACATCCACTTCTCTTCCAGTAATTTAAGAAATTTTTGTCTGACTAATGGTCCATCACAAAACAGATGTAAAGTAAATATATTTAACGCTGTAATTTGAAAGAATTCCAAGAACCAGTATTTCAAATTGTGGGTCCTGAGAAAGAGGCCGAGTGGGTTGCAGGTCTTTTCATGGGAAAAGGACTTGCATTTTAATAGTGAAGTTACTTTCCATGACCTAGGGGCATCCCAAAGCAATTAGACTAAATCCAATCTTTGAGTGAAATGCAATTAGAGACGCAGGGACTTTTTGGCCAAGGCATGCAGATTAATTTAGTATCTGTTTGAAAGTCAGAAACTTCACTTCATATCTCCATCATGCATTCATTTTCAACAAAAATTTCTGCCCATGTTAACATTGCCACATGGCATGACCAACAGCGTACCAAAGAACTCTTTGAATGCATCAATTACAGCGTTTGCACTACAAAGAACTGTTAAGATTGGCAGGAAAGGCCTCAAATTAGATTATGTAAGATTATTGTCATATTAGTGCTCCTTTTTGCAAGTTAATATCAACTCTTCATCATCCAGGTTGTTAATTGTAAGGGAAATAATCTGTGCCTACATGGGCAATGAGGATAAAGGATTAAGACTGTGACAGAACCCCTCATGCTACAAGTATCCACTTCTCGGACCATCTCTGATGGGATCTATCATGTGTTTGAAAGCAGCTTTACACAGAGAAACAACAAATTCCATCATCTAGAAGGGTACAATTTGGTGCCATTAGGAGGTGGATGGTAACATGTATTCAAACAAAGGTGGCTTCAATCTGTCAAAAATAAAGCAATTTATATAAAGCAAATGTTATAGGGCAGATTTACAATTTTGAAATGGGACTGTGATCATGTCATAAATATGTCTTTCAGGAAATGTTAAGTCCTTCAGTAATAAATAAGTATATATCTTCAAATAGGAATGAAATGATGCAGAAAAACCTTTAGTAATTCTAAATATATTTTGTGGGCATTCAAGATTCTTGCTGCTCTTACTGCCACCTAATATCTGAAAATGACACGGACTGGATTCTTGTGTGTGTACTCACATTTGCTAGAGGAACAATTTCAATGCAGAACACAGATTTTTAAATTCTCTTCATGCTTGGGGCCACATGTCCATCCACTTGTCCATGAATGTTAATTTGTTATCTCAGTAGCTTAAAAGTGCTTCCCTAAAGATCATGCTTCATCTAATGGAGCAACTCAGTGGCATCAGTCTCAGCAATCAATCTCTCTCCCCTTCCTTTGAGAACAAGCTCTTTTGGAAATTGAGGCTGTGTCTGGATTTGACCAAAGAGTCTAACATTAATTTTGGAACTAAGTTGCCTCATAAACATTCTGGAAAAACTTCGTGCAAGAAACAGAATGAAATGACTGTTCTCTGAAAACACATTGACTTGTAGAACATTGCAACATTTCTTTGACCTAATGTTGAATGTGTTTATCCAAAAAAGTTTCTTACATATTTCACACTTTGTATGATTCTTTCTATATACTTTAACAGTGACCAATCAAATTGGTATCCATCAGTTTATGAAGTGTGAATTCATTAGCAGTGAGGGCAAAAACATTGAGATAACAAGGTGTAAAGCTGGATGAACACAGCAGGCCAAGCAGCATCAGAGGAGCAGGAAGGCTGACGTTTCGGGCCTAGACCCTTTTTGGGTCTGCCTGGCCTGCTGTGTTCATCCAGCTGTACACCGTGTTATCTCAGATTCTCCAGCATCTGCAGTTCCTACTATCTCAGAGCAAAAACATTGTTCGGTTACATGTTTCTTTCTTGCATATATGGGCAGTGCTTATTTTCCTTCAACTGATTAGCTGTCTAGGCCATTTCAGAAGGTCAACCACATTGTTGAAGGTCAGGAGTCACCGTTACACTGGACCAAGGATTGTAGACTTCCTTCCCAAAAGGACATCAGTGAACCAGATGGGCTTTTGCAACAAATTGACGATGGTTACATAGTTGTTATTAGGCTAGCTTTCCCATTTTATAGGATTCAAATTCCACCATTTACCGCACGAGGATTGAACCGATTTCTCCAGAATTTTAACCTGGGACTCTGGGTTACTAGTCCAGTGACATTACCACAACATCTCAATTGTCTGACACAGTTGTTGCCTGAAACAATGTTGTTTACATTTTTTAAGATGACTGAATTTAACTTGATCAATTTGACTGAAGAAATATTCGAAGATATTATTTACTATCATAAAATGTATAAGGAAGTACATACCAATAACCTGATGAGGTCTAACTCCTGCCTTAATACTGATTCTATATCTCCTTACCAAAACCCATTCCAATATTAACCCTGACAAGCCGATTTCCAATATCAATTCTCCAACTTCCATTCCCAATGTCAATACTAACAAAACTACTTCAAATATCAACACTTCATAACCCACTCACAATCTCACTCCCAAACCCACTCCTGATCCCACTCACAAACTGACTCTAGATCCCAATCCCAAACCCACACCTGATCCAATTCCAAAACCCACTACCAAACCCATTCCTGATCCCACTCCAAAACTGATTTACAATCCCATTCCCAAGTCTATTCCCAATCTAATTCCTGAACCCATTCCTGATCTTACTCTTGATCTCATTCCCAATCCATCTCCCAAAATCAACCTTCTCAATTCAACTTTCAAATCAACACTCCAAAGCAATCTTCAATCTCAACCCTCCTCACCTAAATCCAATTATCACCATATTGCACCCAACCACATTCTCAGAATTGAAGTTATGCAGAGAACCTGAAGGACTGTGAAGCCAGAGGAAGTTACAGTGATTTTGAAGCTTAAGTACACTAAGATATTTGAAAACAGGGATGAGAATTTTAAAATTATGGCATAGTCAAACCAGAATACCACTATAGGCCAGCAGAATGTTGGGTGGGCATGATATAATGCGAATTAGAATTCAGATATCAGAGGTGTGCATGAACCTGAGGTTCATCAGATGAAATTGCATACTTTTAGAGCTGTCCAGTGAATATGGATTCCACTTGAGCAATTACAATAGCTGAGTCACAGATCAATATTAATAAAATGAAGTGGCAGGATTATCTGCTTTTGCTGCCATCAAGCTTGGAGGGAGAAGGGGCCAATGATTGATCACCTCATGATCTCATCCCACCACCACAGGTATTAACCCAGCTGTCGGCAGGACTGTCACCTGTGCAGTGTGCATGAAAGCTAAAACCATGCAGCCAGCCAGTTCCCACTAATGGTTGGGGAAGTGGTGATCCTTCGAAAGCACTTAGTGCCTGATTGAGGGAAGGATGGGGTATTCCACCTGAGAGCCATCTCTAACTTTGCCATTGGCCTCTCTACCTTCACTCCCTGTATGTAGTACTCTGCTCCCAACTCCCAACATGACTTATCTGCGGCCTAGTGATCTCATATGACAGCAGCAGCTACTGCCTTCACAGCAGCACTGCTGACCTTAAGAGCTGATGGACTTCTGATAATCTAATAGCCATCGGTAGATCAAACTTCCACCACTGGGCTTCTAATTCCAGGATAAGGGGCCCCTGTGGACTCTCTTACCTGACTGACTTGCAGTTTGATGAACCTTCCCAAAAAAAGGCAGCCGGAGTCTCTCACTTACTCTCCAAAAAGAAAGAAAGACTTAAAGCCACAACAACAGTCCACCCAATGAAACACTTAGGTTGTACAGATAACTGCTTATTTATCCTTGCCACGTTTTTAACTACTTTCATGTCATTCATTCTCTACATTTTTATCTTTCAGTTTGTTTTTTGCCGTGAATGCAAGGAAGAGTACCATGAGGATGAGTGCAAGGGCCTCTCTCTGAGAGAATACATTGAGACCAATCAGGTAAGGGAGTAAATTCCTGGGAAAGCAATACCCTTAAATGCTTTTTGGTGCTGTATTTGCAAACTATTTGTTAACTTTTCTCTGTGAAAAACAACAACTCTGCTTCTGTTTTGTGCCTTTAAGTGTGATGGCTAAATTTATGAAATAGGCTTCTGTGCTGTTCTCAAGCAGGAATTGATGGATATGGTGAGGATGTGCAGGTTCATCTATCATAAGGGACAAATAGATTTTTCTTGTTTCTAAAAAATCTTACGTACTTATTTCAGTCCTGTCATATATACAGTAAAGTAACAAATAAGACCGAGTGGATTACAAAACCATAAATACAATTGGAGAAATCAACTGATGTTACACAACTGCATGAGCATTGAATTGTTTATCAATATCATCTGACCCCTGTGTGGGATTGTGTTTAATAAAGACCAAGATCGATGAGTGGTGAAAATAGCCTGTTGACTGAGCATCCGCAGTGGCACAGTTCGAGGCAGCGATGGAATCCAAAGTACAGTTTTACAGCAGCCTCTTTGATGCACAGTTCTTACATGCATTAAAATTTTGTCAGTATGGTGTCACATAGTTGTATCTATTATACACAAGTTTGTGTGACATCTGTCATGGGGAAACAGGAGATAGTTTAGCAGAGATAGTAGGAACTGCAGATGCTGGAGAATCCGAGACAACAAGGTGCAGGGCTGGATGAACACAGCAGGCCAAGCAGCATCATAGGAGCAGAAAGGCTGACGTTTCGGGCCTAGACCCTTCATCAGAAAAGGGGGAGGGGAAGGGGGTTCTGAAATAAATAGGGAGAGAGTGGGAGGCGGATAGAAGATGGATAGAGGAGAGGATAGGTGGAGAGGAAACAAACAGGTCGAAGAGGCGGGGATGGGGCCAGTAAAGGTGAGTGTAGGTGGGGAGTTAGGGAGGGGATAGGTCAATCCAGGGAGGATGGACAGGTCAAGGGGGCGGGATGAGGTTAGTCGGTAGGAGATGGGAGTGCGGCTTGAGGTGGGAGGAGGGGATAGGTGGGAGGAAGAACAGGTTAGGGAGGCAGGGACGAGCTGGACTGGTTTTGGGATGCGGTAGGGGGAGGGGAGATTTTGAAGCTTGTGAAATCCACATTGATACCATTGGGCTGCAGGGTTCCCAAGCGGAATATGAGTTGCTGTTCCTGCAACCTTCGGGTGGCATCGCTGTGGCACTGCAGGAGGCCCAGGATGGACATGTCGTCTGAGGAATGGGAGGGGGAGTTGAAATGGTTCGCGACTGGGAGGTGCAGTTGTTTGTTGCGAACCGAGCGTAGGTGTTCTGCAAAGCGGTCCCCGAGTCTCCGCTTGGTTTCCCCGATGTAGAGGAAGCCACACCGGGTACAGCGGATGCAG